ACCAACTTATATATATATGTCAAAAATAAGGGTAACTACTATGAAGGGATAGAATATGACTCTAAAAATGAAAACTAAAAATGTGTTTTTAAAAAGGGATTGATAAGATGTTGGTTGAAAAAGGGAAAAAGAAAACTTTTTTTTAAAAAAAGGGGTGACTGGATGGCTCAGTTAGTTAAGTGACTGCCTTCAGCTCAGGTCATGATCCTGGAGTCCCGGGATCAAGTCCCACATCGGGCTCCCTGCTCAGCAGGGAGTCTGCTTCTCCCTCTAACCCTCCCCCTGCTCATGCTCTCTCTCTCTCATTCTCTCTCAAAAAAAAAAAAAATCTTTAAAAAAAAAATTAACTTTGAAAATAGAATCATGTTAAAAAAGCCATGAATTCTATGTGCAGTATTCCCCTAGCGCTGGAGTTCTGCCATTCTCACTGATCGGTAAACTTGGTCTTGGCTGGCTATTCTCGCTGATATTCTGGGGGAGGGGCCTGTTGCCGTGGTTCCCAAATGTCTTTGCCAGAGGCGGAATTGCCCCGCCCTTGCCCAGTCCGGGCTAAGTAATCTGCTCAGGTTTGCTCTTGGGAGCTTTTGTTCCCTGCAAGCTTTCTGCAGAGCTTTGGAGGCCGAGAGTGAAAATGGCGGCCTCCCAATCTCCGCCCCGGAGGAGCCGAAAACTCGGGGCCCCACTCGTCAGTGAGCCCCCAGAGAAAAGCAGTCAGTCACTCCCATCTCCCCGGTCTCCGGCCACACTCCGTGCTCACCTGGCCTGTGACCGAGTGTTTCTATCTCTGGCACCCAACCCCATGTGGAGTCTCCAAACCCAGCAGATCCCTGAGGTGCACTCCCGCGCCTCTCCTCCCGGGGGAGGAAGGGGAGTCTCCCCAGATCTGCCGCTTGTTGGGTCCCTGCTGGAGGAGCAGTGGCCTGACTGTGCCACGGATCACAGTTTATGGCAACCCCGAGCTGAGAGCCCACTCCTCGGCTCCGTCTCTGCAGCTGGCTTCCCTGCTCCAATCCCTGGGAGCTCTGCTGCACTCAGGCACCCCCGGTCTTCCTGTGACCCCGAGGATCCTGAGACCACACTGTCCCGTGAGGGTTCCACCCCCCACTTAGCCACTAGAGGGACGTCCCTCAGCAGAGCCGACTATCGGAACTATAAGTTCCAATTTTGTGCACCGCGGCTCTATCACTTGCTGGTAGCGGCTGACTGAGGCTCCCTCCCCCTGCGGTTTATCTTCCCGAATATCGCCTCGGATTCACTTCTCCACATGTCCTACCTTCCAGAAAGTGGTCGCTTTTCTGTTCAGAGAGTTGCTGCTATTCTTTTCTTCGATCTCCTGTTGAGTTCGTAGGTGTTCAGAATGGTTTGATCCCTATCCAGCTGAATTCCTGAGACCAGACGAAATCCAGGTCTCCTACTCCTCCGCCATCTTGCTCCGCCCCCACCCTATCCCCAGTATTTTAAATGAGGAAATGAAGTCCAGAAAGGCAAAGTAAATCATCCAAAGTTGTATTCTGTAGTCTGTACTGGAACTGGGGTACTGCAATCCACACAGCCCATGATCTTTCAAAGATGCCACATAGCCTTGGGTGAGAATCCTGCCTGGAAAGGGCTCAATTTTTCCACGTGGGCTAAAATACTGCATTAACAAATGACTCCAAAATCCCTATGCTTTAATGCTTAAAAGTTTGTCATTCTCCCACATCAAGCCCAGGAGGTGAAGTGGGGTTTCTGCCGAGAACACCCCAGCCACCAAAGTGGAGGAAGAAGAAGCCTGGAGTTGCCTGCAGGGCTCTTCACGGCCTCTGCCCAGGAGCCCCGCCTCACTTCCTCTCACACCTCATTGGCCAGATGCAGTCACGTGGCCCGCCCACACATGGCAGATGGCTGAGGCCAAGTGTAGCCTCCAGGATGCTGACCATGCAAAGGAGAGCTGGGCTTAGTGAGTGCTGATAACTCCCACAGAGCCTTAGCTGAAAAGACAGTGAATGAAAAAGTCTTTTGGGGGAGTAACCCGGAGATGATACTGAGTAAAATGTGGGCCAAGGGGGAACATTTACTCGTTCATCTAATGGGATTGCAGGGTACTAGGGCTAGGTTCTGGGATTCAGTGATAAGAGTTGGAGCCCCTGTCCTCTGTGAGCTCATGGTCACTGTATGTAATCATTGTACTACCATTTCATGCACTATAGGAGCCCAGTGGGGACCTAAATGAGGGAAGCTGGGGTGGTCTCAAGGAGGAGGTAACAGTAAAACAAATGATAGTTGAAGAAGGCAAGGATTAAGCTCTTGGTTGGCTAGGGATCACATTACAGGGACCTTATGTGGGTCAGTATCATCACCACTACTCATGGGACACCCACCTCCTTTTAAGAGTCCAGGAACAGGGCGCCTGGGTGGTTCAGTTGGTTAAGTGACTGCCTTCAGCTCAGGTCATGATCCTGGAGTCCCTGGATCAAGTCCCGCATCGGGCTCCCTGCTCGGCAGGGAGTCTGCTTCTCCCTCTGACCCTCCCCCCTCTCATGTACTCGCTCTCTCTCATTCTCTCTCTCTCAAATAAATAAAATCTTTAAAAAAAAAAAAAAAAGTCCAGGCACAGAACAGGGAACTCTTTAAAAGACAACCGAGTCAGATCAGGGAAAAGTTAATATAGATGGATTTTTTCCTTAAACTCATAATAACATACTCAGTCTCCTTCATGGCAAGAGAAATGTAAATTGAAACTACACTAAGGTAGCATTTATCACCTATCGGACTGGCAAAAATCCCAAATGACAGCATATTCTGTTGAGGTTTTGAGAAAAAAGGCATTCCCATACACTGGGAGAGGGAGTGTATATTGATAACATTCCTAGCAATGGGGAATTGGGCAACATTTGTCAAAATTTAAAGTGCATATACTCTTGGACCTAACCATTTCACATGGAGGGATTTATCCAAGAGATATATATTTGCACACATATGAAATGTGCACAAGATTATTCATTGTCACATTATTAGTAAAAGATTGGAAATGATCCAAATGTCCATAAGAAACTGGTTAAATTATAATTTTATACTCAGTAGAATATTATACAGTGTTAAAAAAGAGGAATCTTATGATGTACTAACACAGAACAGTCTCCAGGATATGAGCTAAGTAAAAAAATTAAAGTACAATAAAGTATGTAAAAAGCTGCCATTGGTGGAAGAAAGAAAAAAGGAAATTTATATTCATAAGAACGCTGAAGTATAACTTTCAGGATAGGCTAGGTAATGCTGCAGTAACAGGTGACTAAAACATTTCAGTGGTTTATACAACTTTTTTTTTTTTTGTCCACACCCAGTGTCCATTATATATTAGCTTTGGCTCTGATCCATATACCACCCCCACTGTGAGACCCAGGCTGATGGACCAGGCCCTAAGGGAACCTGGCAGGTTTCATGGCAGAGGGAAAGGGACATGGCAAACCAGGAACTGGCTGTGAAATCTTCCACATGTGTGTGAACCAGATAATACTTCTGCCCACATTTCATTGGCCAAGCAAGTCACAGGAGCACTACTGAGTACAACAGGGCAAAAAAATGTGCATCTTGCAGAGAAGCGTTCCCTACGTCACATAGTCAAGTCTATGGACAATGGGACAGGCATGTATAAGCCTCCCACTGGGAGGGGAAGCAACTAATAATGAACAGTAATGCAACCTGGCACTAAGAAATTAATATAACAGTGACTACTTGTGGGATGGGATATTGGAAACTGGGTAGATAGGAATAAGATGGACACTTTCACTTAGTACATATGTATATTTGAATTATGTGAATATATTATCCAAAGAAAAATGTTGCCAAGTAGCTACATAAAAATATATCCAGATCAGGGGTACCTGGCTTGCTCAGTTGGAAGAGCATGCAACAACTCTTGACTCAGTTGGGGTTGTGAGTTCAAGTCCCACGTTGAGTATAGAGATTACTTAAAAATAGATAAAAATATATCCAGATCTCCTTTTCCTGTGACATGAACTTTGGACACATCATCCAAATGCACTGATAAACTCCTGACATCTTACTGATAATAATTCCTACTCAGAGGCATGTGAAGATCAGCAAACGGGTCCATCCCATGGCAGTTCTCCATGCTCGATGCCAGGAAGAGTAACTGCGGGGGCTTTGCAGGGAGAAGCAGGAGTCTGTATCTGGTTTATCTGGTTTGACGACTCAAGTGACTGGGTGGAGAGCATCGTAGCCCCCAGACCTTCACCAAGTGTGGGATACGGGGGACTGTGAGCCGAATAAACAGATAATAGGCCTGGGACAGTTGGCACGAGTGAACACAGCAAGTGAGCAAAACTCCTGGAAAAGCAGAGTTGAGCCCCGGGGAAGCAAGACCAGGAATGAGATCTAAGAGAGAAGGAGAGCCATTAACTGAAAAATAAGCTTTAAGGTTGGAAGCCTGGATCAGGAAGGGGAGCACAGGGTGAACTGAGGAGCAGTTTAAGGTCAAAGACCAGACCACTGAAAGGAGCCAAAGCCCCCGTTTCTAGGCAGCCAGCTGACAGGGCAGGCTGTCCAAGGGCTGAAAGGCTGCTCAGGACCCCACAGCGGCATGGGGCAGGGGCCACGCCACCACAGGCTAGACCACAAGAGCCCTGTGATGGGGATTCAGAATCCCACCCTGTGGCTCAAGAGTTTCAAACCCCCGGGAATCTTACAGGGCAGCCTGGAAGCCCCCCAGGGGTAGCAGGAATTGTTTGAGGGGTTAAAACAGTCATCCAGGGCTCTGGGTGTTATACGCAACTAAAGAATCATTGAACACTGTATCAAAAACTAATGATGTACTATATGGTGGCTAACTGAACATAGTCCAAAAAATAGTGTAAAAAAATAAAACTGTCATCCGTGTGCATGGCTGCTACACTTGCAGACACTCTGGAGACACTGGGCCTTTGTGGCCTGTACGTGGAGATGGTGGCCTCCGTTACTGATCACTGTCCCCCATGCCACCACCCCGTTTCCTCCTCCAGTACCACTTCAACCCCTCGCAGTCCGTCCTGGTGATGGAAGGTGACGACATTGGGAACATCAATCGTGCCCTCCAGAAGGTGTCCTACATCAACTCCAGGCAGTTCCCGACGGCGGGTGTGCGGCACCTGAGAGTCTCTTCCAAGGTCCAGTGAGTAGACAGACGCTGGTCAGCCAGGGGCTCAGCTGAGGTGGTGGGGATGGTCCCTGGGGAATGTTCCCTGGCAAAACAGAATTCACCTTTTGTCTGCTATTTGCAGTTTCTCTGCTAGCCCTATGAGGATGCCCCAATGGATCTCTGTTCTCTCCTTGTTTTCTTCAGAAAGAAAATGTTCTGTTCCTTTGCCAGCACAAATCCAGCTTTCTCTATTTAATTCAGAATCCAATGTAGTACTGCATCCCGTAAATTCTCAGAAAGCTTGGTTTTTAGTGGTCTGACTTAAGGTTGCAGAAGCTGGTACATAGTAGGTACTTGACAAATGTTTATTAAATTGGATTAAATCAGCCAGCCCAGCTTTGTAGAGCAACTAAATACCACAAGTATGCAAGAGAGAGAGGGTATGGTTCTTGTCCCCAGGGGATCAGAGTTCAGTAAAGGAGATGAGACTCTTTATTAGTGAAGCCTGTGGATAATTCCCTTCTTGGTCCATCCAATCGTTTCTCAGCCACAGCAACTGCCTGGTAGGGCAGCAAGGATGGGACCCCAGAAAAACTCCTGGCAGGCAGAAGGGGAATCACCTAGTCCCTGGAGCCGGGAGAAGAAGCCAGAGGACAGGAACAAGGCTGGGAAAGATGGGTCTGCTGACTGCCACGTAACTGGGGCAGGGACAGGTGCCAGGCTAAATCCCACAGGCAGCAATCATATTCAATAGTTCTAGTGACAGAGGAGGCACTCCCCCACCTTCACACTAAGGGCCACCCTTGGAGGCCTGCGATAGGGAGCAAGCACCTCCAGCTCAGCTCCGCACTGCAGTCAAAGAGAGGGACCAGGCTTCCATAAACTGACGAGCAGCATGGTGCCCTCTGGGACTGGTGCAGCGAAGGCCAGACAAAACCAGGGGCAGGAACACACCACTGCTCCCACAACTTGCCCACCCCAAAGAAGAGGGAGTGCCTCAGCATGGTGTCCACCCAGACTGCGCTTCCCTCAGGAACTTTCCCAAGGGCTACAAGTTGATGGCCGCCACCAGCTGGAGTCTACCCAGCGTTCCCAGAGCGGCCATGTGGGCCCCGGGGCTCTTGTAGCCTAGGTCTTTGGCCCAGATGAGCAGCGGAGAGTGGCAGTGACTCGAATGCCTGATGCAATCTGATGAGGGTGTCAGGTCTGCCAACATTTACTGAGCTCCACCCACGATGCAGCCTCTGGCGTTGGCTTCTTTTCTATATGTCAGCACATTTAATCCTTGCTATTATGAGGTAATTAATTATTGTCATCCCCACTGTATAGATGGAGAAACTGAGGTTCCCAAGAGTCACACCTTGCCCGGGGTCACCCAGCCCCACAGTGGCAGAACCAGGCCACGGACCTTGTCTAACTTCTCAGGCCTTGCTCATGCGGTCACAGCATTCTGCCTTCCAGGTGTTTCTGTGGCAGTGTATCAGGAGAAAGGAGATGATCCGTGGCACATCTACAACAGGAGCACTGTGGGAGCTCCTCGTAGAGAGACAACATACATGAGTGCAAGAGAGTTCAGCCCTGGGGTCTCAGCAAGATGCCTGTACCCAACCAGTTAGACGGCAATTTGCTTACCAAATTCTAGTGCACATACCAAGCAGTGGCTAATTAATGTTACCACTGATTACTTAGTTTTGACTATCATGTGGCTTTCAATCTGAATGTCTGCTGATACCCTCTGAGACCCCGAGGCAGTCCAGAGACCTCGGCAAAGACAAGAGGTGGTTGTGTGTCTCCTCGTCCCCGGCTACGTGGTAGATGCATTCATGGCTCGCTCTTCAGTGCGGTGACCGCAACTGTTTTCCCAGGTGCTTCGGAGAAGATGTGTGCATCAGTGTCCCCGACGTGGATGCCTATGTGATGGTGCTGCAGGCCATCGAGCCCCAGATCAGCCTCCGGGGTACGGACCGCCTCTGGAGACCCACCACCCAGTTTGAAAGTGCCCGAGGGGTGACCCTCTTCCCAGACCTCAAGATCGTGAGCAGCTTCGCCAAAGCCGAGGCCCCGGGTGACCTGAGGACAACAGGTACAGATGCACACTGGGTCGTGGGGCAGGAGCCTTCCATTCTCAGAGCCACGCCAAGTCCCACTTCAGGCCAATACCATCATTCACCATGGCAGGGAATTTCTGATAGCAAAGCAAAGCAAACAAACCTGCAAACAACACAAATAACAGGGAAATGAACTATTTGGCAAATAATTGGTCCACCCATGTACGTGATAGGATGTTGGAGGGAGGACATTTATGCCAAATGGTAAATGAAAGAAAGCAAGATGCAAATTACAGAGTACCTACAACACACACCAGAAAATGCCAAGAAGAAAACACACCTGATGTTAACAGTGCTGTTCTCTGAGACACCTAAGAGCCAATTTGTCTCTGCTCCCCTTCACTTGGCTGCAAATGCAAAATGTTCAATAGTGAGCCTGTATTATTTTGATGATCAGAAGAAAAGCTAAAGAAGCACAAAGAAAACATTTAGCTGCACCTTAATAGACACACAGTGAAAGTCAGGTCTGATCCAGCAGCATTAGTCTCAGCTCTCAGGGAACTTTCCAGCATGTCCATTATTGAGAGGGCTACCGATGGAGGCAGAGTAATTGGAATGATCTGCCAGGGAAAAACACTCCGTTGCAGGGAAAGCTATGGTGCACTCAGCTGGCGGGGATGGGGATGGTGACAGGAAGGAAGGATAAGGAAAGAAGGGAAACCCAGGGTCCAGATCTACAGGGGAAGTACCTGTTTAACCGTCCTCTGCGGCCTCCTCCAGGAGAGGACTTCTAGCTCTCCCTCTCTGCCTCCAAAGCAGCTGCTAATGATGTGCTGGAGCCCATGGGCCTGAGTCCCTAAAGGGCTGCTCCTCTAACAGTCCTAATTACTCACTGCCTTAAGCCACCCTGGTCCCTAGGGAATGGGGTACCTCCAGTGCAGCCCTTCTTAGCTCATGACAATAGATGGCGTCTTCCAAGTGTCCCTGCCGGGACAGGGCCCTTGCCTGGTGACACTCCCAGGTGCATTAGGGCCTGTGAGCTTTCCCTTCCCCTCATTTGGAGCCACGATCAGATGGGAAAAGGAAGGGCCTCTGACCACAGTGGCTGCAGGCTGTAACTGGGAGCATGTGGACGTGCTAGGCCTGCCCCTGGCTGACAGGCAATGCCAGGGAAAAGCAGTTACCTGGGGCTCTAACTCACCTTCTATTTATGAGCGGTGCGGGCAGAGCACAGAGCCACGTGCCCGAGAGCTCTTATGGGTACTTTTTACATCTTCCTCTTATTGTTGTTAGGATAATCGTTACTATGGATGCCTTAAGTAAGGAGGCTCATGGTATTTGCCAGCAGGCCTCAGTGACCCGCCCCAGCATCATCTTCTGCCCCTACTGACCTACTCCTCTTTGTGCTGTTTCGGTACCAAAGACAGGCAAGTCCCCCATGTACACCCCTGTCTCTCACACCTCTGTGTTCTCACCTTTGCTCGTGCCCTACCCTCTGCCTGGTAGGTCCCTGACACTCCCCATCCGCGTTACTGCTGGCAAACATCTCCCCACCAGCACTCTGCCCCCTCGACTGGGCTAGCTCTCCTGCTCTGTACGCCCCCCATGACTGATGCTTCCCTGACCTCCCCGCCCCCCCCCGCCACATCTGCTAGCCCTCAGAGGCAGTTATCAGTTAATTAAGCCAGACCAGGGGCTCCATGAGCGCTCAACCATGGCTGATTCGCCTCTAAATGCCTGAGCCCAGCACAGTCCCTTCAGCACAGTGGGAATCAAGAGAAGTACAGATGGAAGATAGAACCTGTAATGTAGCCACAGAAGAACAATGAGAAAATGCTCAACATTTATACCATGACTCCTACCTAGTGTGAGCAATCAGCCGGCCACATGGGGAGGTAGGAGTAAGATGACCTAAACTGACCTGATAAGAAGCTGGCAAAAAACTCCAGAAACCATGCAAAGGCCATTTGGAATACAGATACACATATGCTATTGCTAATGATAGGCCTTCAATGTATATTAATGTGATTTTAGATTTTGCCAGTGAAACATGAAGCCATTGAGAATGACAAGCATCTAAAAATCAAGCATACGAAATTATTTAGAATAATATATATCTGGTGAGAGCAAAAAATATTTTTGGTATCACTAAAAAAACAGAAAATAATTATTTAAAATAATTCTCTCCTCTTTTGTAAATCCTTTTTAATTTCTATTTTCATAAATGTTTTATAGTATACAAAATATATTAGTCCACTTTATAAATAAATAACTATACATATTTAAATGATCTCGGTTCAGAAATTTTTCCCAAAAGGGCTACAAAATCAAAAGCATTTGAAGACTACTAGCCCCAAGGTTATGAATTTATAAACTGTGGAATCAGAAAGTCATGGCTTCTGTCCCAGCTTTTCCCCTAATATCTGTGTAAGCCTGGGCAATCTGCCCTACCCCCCGGACTTCAACTTCACTGCTGGTGAAATGGGGATAATAATAGTACCCTATTTAATATCTACCTGTTAGGATTGTTTGCACAGAGCCTGGCCCATAGCAAGCACTCCATAAATACCACTTTTATTATTTTCTTAAATCCAGTATAGTTAACATACAGTGTTATATTAGTTTCAGGTATACAATATAGTGATTCAACAATTCTGTACATCATCCAGTGCTCATCACAAGAGCACTCCTTAATCTCCTTCACCTATTTCACCCATCCCCCACCCACTTCCCCTCCGATAACCATCAGTTTGTTCTCTAGAGTTAAGGGTCTGTTTTTTTGTCTCTTTGTTCATTTGTTTCTTAAATTCCACATATAAGTGAAATCATATAGTATTTGTCTTTCTCTTACTGCATTTCAAGATCCATCCATGTTGTTGCAAATGACAAGATTTCATTCTTTTTTATGGCTGAATAATACTACACACACACACACACACACACACACACACTTCTTCTTTATCCATTCATCTGTCATTGGACACTTGGGCTGCTTCCATAATTTGGCTATTGTAAATAATGCTGCAATAAAAGTAGGGGTGCATAGGTCTTTTCAAATTAGTGTTTATGCATTCTTTGGGTAAATACCCAGTAGTGGAATTACTGGATCATATGGTAATTCTATTTTTCATTTTTTGAGGAACCTCCCTACTGTTCTCCACAGTGGCTGCACCAGTTTGCATTCCCACCAACAGTGCATGAGGATTCCTTTTTCTCCACATCCTCGTCACTTCTTGTTTCTTGTGTTTTTTATTTTAGCCATTCTGACAGGTGTAAGGTGATGTCTCATTGTGGTTTTGATTTACATTTTCCTGATGATGAGTGACGTTGAGCATCTTTTCATGTGTCTGTCAGCCATCCGTGTATCTTCTTTGAAAAATGTTTGTGTCAGAAGACACGATACACAATACTTTTATCAGATTATTTCTTTTGGGGGTGTTTAGTTGTATAAGTTCTTTATATATTTTAGATACTATCTTTTATCAGATATGTCATATGCAAATATCTTCTCCCTTTCAGTAGGTTATTTGTAGTTTTGATTATTGCTTCCTTAGCTGTGCAAAAGCTTTTTATTTTGATGTAGTCCCAGTGGTTTATTTTTGCTTTTCTTTCCCTTGCCTCAGGAGACATGTCTAGAAAAATGTTGCTATGGCCAATGTCAGGGAAATTATTGCATGCACTCTCTTCTAGGATTTTTATGGTTTCTGGTCTCTCAGGCCTTTAATCCACATTGAGTTTATTTTTGTATATGGTGTAAGAAAGTGGTCCAGTTTCATTCTTTTACATGTAGCCGACCAGTTTTCCCAACATTTGTTGAAGAGACTCTTGTCTCCTTTGTTATAGATTAATTGACTTATAAGCATGGGTTTATTTCTGGGCTCTCTACTCTGTTCTATTGATCTATGTGTCTTTTTCTGTGCCAGTACCATACTGTTTTGATTACCACAGCTCTGTAGAATATCTTCAAATCTGGGATTGTGATGCCTCCAGTTTTGTTTTCCTTTTTCAAGATTGCTTTGACTATTTGGGGTCTTCTTTGATTCCATACAAATATTAGGATTGTTGTTATAGTTCTGTGAAAAATGCTGTCAGTGTTTTGATAGGGATGCATTAAATCTGTAGATTGCTTTGGATAGTATGGACATTTTAACAATATTTGTTATTCCAATCGATGAGCATGGAATGTCTTCCCTTTTGTGTCATCTTCAGTTTCTTTCATCAATGTTTTATAGTTTACAAGAGTACAGGTCTTTTACCTCCTTGGTTAGGTTTATTCATAGGTATTTTATTATTTTTGATGCAATTGTAAATAGGATTATTTTCTTTTTAAAGATTTTATTTAGAGAGTGCAAATGAGAGAGCACACATGGGTGGTGGGGGGGAGGGGCAGGGGGGAGAGGGGTAAGCAGATGCCCAACTGAGTGGGGAGCCTGATGCAGGGCTCAATCCCAGGACCCTGGGATCATGACCTGAGCTGAAGGTAGACATTTAACCAACTGAGCCACCCAGGTGCCCCAAATGAGATTGTTTTCTTAATTTCTTTTTTCTGCTGTTTTATTAGTGTATAGAAATGCAATAGATTTCTGTATACTGATTTTGTATCCTGCAACCATACTGAATTCATTATCAGTTCTGATAGTTTTTTGGTGGAGTCTGTAGGGTTTTCTAGGCATAGTATCATGTCAGCTGCAAATAGTCAAAGTTTTACTTCTTCCTTACCAACTTGGATGCCTTTTATTTCTTTTTGTTGTATGATTGCTCTGGCTAAGACTTCCAGTACTATGTTTAATAAAGTGGTAAGAGTGGATATTCTTGTCTTGTTTCCAATCCTAGTGAAAAGCTCTCAGTTTTTCACCAATCAGTATGATATACCTGTGGGTTTTTCCTATATGGTCTTTATTAAGTTGAGGTATCTTCCCTCTAACCCTACTTTCTTGAGGGTTTTTTATCATGAATGGATGTTGTACTTTGTCAAATGCTTTTTCTGCATCTATTGAAATGATCATATGGTTTTCATCCTTTTCTCTTGATGTGA